ACGAGACCGTCCACGGGGCAGGCCAGGGCTGTGCATGGGGCCTTGGAGCTCACTTCCCACAGTGACGGACTTCGGAGCACTTCAGCCAGCATATCCACAGCCCCGCTAGGGACAGGCCAGCGGGACGGGGACAAGGAGGGATTCCTAGCCTTCGTGCTGGCTCAGGAGCTGCGGGGTACCATGGAAATGGCTGACAGGCAGCGTGTGTGAGTGAACCGGTGGGCTCAGGCCCAGCCTGGGCAGCAGGTATGCAGGGGAGAGCAGGGCGGTGACGGGCCTGGTCTGGCCTTTGGAGCCCTCCTGCAAGTCACAATGGGGGCAGTCAGCTGGCCCTTTGGTCCCCTTGCTGGCTGCTTGGGAGCTGGAAGGGGCCCCGTGGCAGTGAGCCGCAGCAGGGAGCACGGCGTGGGCGATGCACCGTGGGTAGGGAAGCCGGGACCAGGCGGCATGGCGGAGAAGGCAGTGAGTCATGGGAAGGGTGGCTGGTTACACCGAGGATGGTTCGCGACTGGCTGGCCCAGGGCTGGTCCTGGCAGCTGCTGTGTTCCCCCACCCGCCCTTCCCGTCTGTCGTTGTTCAGCAGCTCGGGACCACAGCCACTGTGGTGGAACTGCCCCGCCTGGGCCAAGCGCCCCTCACAGCTCAGTCTGCGGCCGAGGGCTCCTGTCCTCTTGCGCTCGGCTGCGGGGAAGGTGGCCAGTTTCCAGGCCTTTCCCGGGCCTGGCCCCTCTGCTGAGATTTGTGGTGCTGGCCCTTCTGCTGTGTGGTTCTGAGAACTAGTTCGAGAGCATCCGCTCTTTTAGCCAGCCCAGCAACCTCCCAGCAAGCGGGGGAGCAAGTTCCGTCTCCTGTGGCCTGCTATGCGGTTCGTTCCGTTCTCCGTGGCCGGATCTCCCTGCAGGTTTGGTTGCTAATGGGGGTGGCCAAATGCCGACAGCTCGTTCCACAGCCTCTTTGCATCTGTTTTCTTTTAGCCATCGTCAACCCAAAGCAGCCCAAAGAGACGCCCAAAAGCTTCAGCTTTGACTATTCCTATTGGTCGCACACCACGTGGCCTGCTATGCGGTTCGTTCCGTTCTCCGTGGCCGGATCTCCCTGCAGGTTTGGTTGCTAATGGGGGTGGCCAAATGCCGACAGCTCGTTCCACAGCCTCTTTGCATCTGTTTTCTTTTAGCCATCGTCAACCCAAAGCAGCCCAAAGAGACGCCCAAAAGCTTCAGCTTTGACTATTCCTATTGGTCGCACACCACGGTGAGACGTTCCTGACACAGCTGGTCCCAGATCAGCCCTGGTGGCGCATGCCCCCTGCCAGTCACTGTGAAAACCCAAGCCAGGGGTTTGCAAATGGCTCCCAGACCGTCACACATACCCAGGGGAAATCTGACCAGCA